GTGTGTCATTGATTGCTATGGACTGGCCCGCCCGTTCCCCAGACCTGAATCCAATTGAGCACATCTGGGACATCATGTCTCGCTCCATCCACCAACGTCACGTTGCACCACAGACTGTCCAGGAGTTGGCAGATGCTTTAGTCCAGGTCTGGGTGGAGATCCCTCAGGAGACCATCCACCACCTCATCAGGAGCATGCACAGGCCTTGTAGGAAGGTCATACAGCCTCATTTTGACTTGTTTTAAGGACATTACATCAAAGTTGGATCAGCCTGTAGTGTGTTTTTCCAATTTAATTTTGAGTGTGACTCCAAGTACAGACCTCCATGGGTTGAAAAATTTGATTTCCATTTTTTTATTTTTGTGTGATTTTGTTGTCAGCACATTCAACTATGTAAAGAACAAAGTATTTCAGAAGGATATTTAATTCATTCAGATCTAGGGTGTGTTATTTTTGTGTTCCCTTTATTTTTTTGAGCAGTGTATTTTTAATCACAGTAAATTAAAGGGGCCATAGTAAAAAGGGGAGTTTGTCACAATGACGGAAAGAGTATGATGGAAGAGTATGATGGATACATAGTACATGACAGACATACAGTATATGACAGACACAGTATATGACGGATACACAGTACATGACCGACACACGGTATTTGACAGACACAGTATATGATGGATACACAGTATATGACGATATGACGGACACAGTGTATGATGGATACACAGTATATGACGGACCCACAGTATATGACGATATGACGGACACAGTATATGACGGACACAGTATATGACACAGTATCACCTCCACCACGCAGGCTCGCTGCCTAGGTGTTCTCTTTGACTCCGACCTCTCTTTCAAGCCTCATGTTCAGTCTATCGCCAAATCCTGCCACTGCCATCTTTAAAATATTGTACACATCCGACCCTACTTAACGCCTGATGCGACTAAGGTGTTGGTCCATTCCACTGTCCTTCTCGCCTTGACTACTGTAATCCGCTTCTCAGCGGTATTACGTGCTCCCAACTAGCGCCGTTACAGTCCATAATGAATGCGGGGCGAGGCTCATCTTCCTGTCCGCCCGCACTTCCCACGCCTCACCCTTCTGTCAGTCCCTACATTGGCTTCCTATAAGATATAGAGCTCAATTTAAAATTCCGGTTCTTGCTTTCAAATAAATACATAATGCCGCTCCCACCTATCTATCCTCCCTTATACAAAAGTATGTCCCGTCTAGGCCCTTACAATCTGCTGAAGACTTACGTCTATCTTCTGTCCGTACTCCCACCTCTGATGCTTGCCTTCAAGATTTCTCGAGGGCTGCACCGTTCCTGTGAAACTCGCTTCCCTCCTCCATTAGATGCTCACCCAGTCTCCATGCCTTCAAAAAATCGTTAAAAACCCACTTCTTCATAAAAGCGTATCAATTGAACTGTTAATAGCTCCCGACTGATTCCTCTTCTGCAACTGTCACTAGTCTTATACTATCCTTACCTTTTTGTGTCATTTTACCCCACTTCCTCTAGCATGTAAGCTCATTGAGCAGGGCCCTCAACCCCTCTGTTCCTGTGTGTGCAACTTGTCTGGTTACAACTACATGTCTGTTCGTCCACCCATTGTAAAGCGCTGCGGAATTTGATGGCGCTATATAAATAACATAGTAACAATAATAATGATGGACACACAGTATATGACGGACACACAGTATACGATGGATACACAATATATGATGGACACACAGTATATGACGATATGACGGACACAGTATATGATGGACACATAGTATATGACGGACACACAGTATATGATGGATGCACAGTATATTATGGACACACAGTATATATGACGTACACAGTATATGATGGATACACAGTATGTGATGGACACACAGTATATGATGGGTACACATTATACGACTGACACACGGTATATGACGGACACACAGTATAGGACGGATACACAGTATATGACGGATACACAGTATATGAAGGACACACAGTATATGATGATATGACGGACACAGTATATGACGGACACAGTATATGACAGACACAATATAGGACGGATACACAGTATATGATGGATACACAGTATATGATGGACACACAGTATATGATGGATACACAGTATATGATGGACACACAGTATATGATGGGTACACAGTATATGATGGATACACAGTATATGACGGACACGCAGTATATGACGGATACACAATATATGATGGACACACAGTATATGATGGACACAGTATATGACGGACACAGTATATGACGGATACACAGTATATGATGGATACTCAGTATATGACGGACACAGTATAGGATGGATACACAGTATATGACGGACACAGTATATGATGGATACACAATATATGACGGATACAGTATATGATGGATACACAGTATATGACGGACACACAGTATATGACAGACACAGTATATGATGGATACACAGTATATGATGGATACACAGTATATGACGGACACAGTATGTGACGGACACAGTATATGATGGATACACAGTATATGACGGATACAGTATATGACGGACACAGTATATGACGGACACAGTATATGATGGATACACAGTATATGACAGACACAGTATATGATGGATACACAGTATATGATGGACACACAGTATATGATGGATACACAGTATATGACAGACACAGTATATGATGGATACACAGTATATGACGGACACAGTATATGATGGACACACAGTATATGATGGACACACAGTAAATGATGGACACACAGTATATGACGGATACAGTATATGACGGACACAGTATATGATGGATACACAGTATATGACGGACACAGTATATGATGGATACACAGTATATGACGGACACAGTATATGACAGATACAGTATATGACGGACACAGTATATGATGGATACACAGTATATGACGGATACAGTATATGATGGATACACAGTATATGATGGACACACAGTATATGATGGATACACAGTATATGATGGACACACAGTATATGATGGATACACAGTATATGACAGATACAGTATATGATGGATACACAGTATATGATGGACACACAGTATATGATGGATACACAGTATATGACGGACACAGTATATGATGGACACACAGTATATGATGGATACACAGTATATGACTGACACACAGTATAGGACAGATACACAGTATATGATGGATACTCAGTATATGACGGATACACAGTATATGATGGATACTCAGTATATGACGGACACAGTATAGGATGGATACACAGTATATGACGGACACAGTATGTGACGGACACAGTATATGATGGATACACAGTATATGACGGACACAGTATATGACGGACACAGTATGTGACGGACACAGTATATGACGGACACAGTATGTGACGGACACAGTATATGATGGATACACAGTATATGATGGACACACAGTATATGATGGACACAGTATATGACGGACACAGTATGTGACGGACACAGTATATGATGGATACACAGTATATGACGGATACAGTATATGACGGACACAGTATATGACGGACACAGTATGTGACGGACACAGTATATGATGGATACACAGTATATGATGGACACACAGTATATGATGGACACAGTATATGATGGATACACAGTATATGATGGATACACAGTATATGATGGACACACAGTATATGATGGACACAGTATATGATGGATACACAGTATATGATGGACACAGTATATGATGGATACACAGTATCTGACGGATACACAGTATATGACGGACACAGTATATGATGGATACAGTATATGATGGACACACAGTATATGATGGACACAGTATATGACGGACACAGTATATGATGGATACACATATGGACGTGATGGACACAGTATATGACGGACACAGTATATGATGGATACACAGTATCTGACGGATACACAGTATATGACGGACACAGTATATGACGGACACAGTATATGATGGATACACAGTATATGATGGACACACAGTATATGATGGATACACAGTATATGACGGACACAGTATATGATGGATACACAGTATCTGACGGATACACAGTATATGACGGACACAGTATATGATGGATACAGTATATGATGGACACACAGTATATGATGGACACAGTATATGACGGACACAGTATATGATAGATACACAGTATCTGACGGATACACAGTATATGACGGACACAGTATATGATGGACACACAGTATATGATGGACACAGTATATGATGGACACAGTATATGACGGACACAGTATATGATGGACACACAGTATATGATGGGCACAGTATATGATGGACACAGTATATGACGGACACAGTATATGATGGACACACAGTATATGATGGACACACAGTATATGACGGACACAGTATATGACGGACACAGTATATGACGGACACACAGTATATGACGGACACAGTATATGATGGATACAGTATATGATGGACACACAGTATATGATGGACACACAGTATATGACGGACACAGTATATGATGGATACACAGTATCTGACGGATACAGTATATGACGGATACAGTATAGGACGGATACAGTATATGATGGACACAGTATATGACGGTCACAGTATATGATGGACACACAGTATATGATGGACACAGTATATGACGGACACAGTATATGACGGACACACAGTATATGACGGACACACAGTATATGACGGATACACAATATATGATGGACACACAGTATATGATGGACACAGTATATGACGGACACAGTATATGATGGATACACAGTATCTGACGGATACAGTGTCTGTGATAACAGACTGTTTCACTCTCCCCCCTTGCTGTGCTGGGTGCACGCTGCACACAGAGACCTGTTTCCTTTATCCACACCCTTTCTTTCCATAACACAGGAGGCTGTGATGCTTCCCAGCTGGGATTCCCTCTTGTCTGAGCTGGGAGGAGAAGGGGGAGGCAGAGAAAGGAGGAGGAGCAGACACAGCAGGCAATAGGAGGCAAGTCAGCATCAGTCTCCTGCAGCATCTCCTTCTACCTTCCTTGTCTCCTAATAAGGGGATGCCTTGTGGAGTAGACGGCCAGGATACTTGCCATCCTCATTGGAGAGAAGAGAAACCTGATAGAGCAGCATATTCTATGCATGTCAGTCAGCCTGACGGAGCAGGTGATGGGGGCATGTCTCCTTAATCTGAGGGTCTGACTTGCTTCTCATCCAGACCCCCCATGGATTCCCGCCTTCAACCACAGAGGATCATGGGATAAATGCGCTGTGGCACCCAAAGCCAGGTATAGACGCTCTGTTACTACAGGTGGGGCTTTTCCTCGTTCACTGGCGGATCTTCTTTCCGATATTACCAAAAGGGAGAGAAGGAAGAAAGCTCACTCACGACCTGTTACCGGCAAGCATTATTACTGAGTATCATTAAAGGACACGATATAAAGGGTCATTAAAGGACACGATATAAAGGATCATTAAAGGACACGATATGAAGGATCATTAAAGGACACGATATGAAGGATCATTAAGGATATAAAACATGTATTCTAGGTGACACAGCACTGACCTGTAGCCCAGGCGTAGCTGTTTCTCTCTGAGTGGGCTGAGTGAGATGACATGTCTTTGGAGACTGCTGGTGGCCTGCTGATGTTGGATTTAAGTTCATCCTGCTGCTGTGTGGTTGCTCTGTGTGTTGTGCGGGCATTGTTTATCAGGGTCACACGTAACGCATTGCCCTGATAATAACATCTTACAGGAATCACACAGACTGCTTTTTGTTTATTCACATAGCCATGAGTTTTCTCTGTTAATTAGACAAGGTACCTTTGCTCCTTCGTTACAGACTGATATTGTCCTAGTGTGCTCATAGCTCGCGGTGACATCAGAAGTGTGAGTACTCTACTCGTGGTCACTGTACTAAATCAAATCCGAGCACAGTGTGACCTACAGTGGACGGGGTACCCACGGTATCCATGAACAGCAGGTGCAGAGCTCCCTACTCTACAACTTACCTGGAGAATGAAAGTGTGAGGCATTGATGTGAGTGATTGACACCTGGAATCTTTTCATCAGCCTTGCACCCCCTATTTCTTGATTTGACCCAAACCTGAGGCTATCTCCACCTTTGTTATAGCCCTACTTTTTTGCTTCTTGAATTCACAGTGTTGCGGGTCACGAGGAGTTAAGAGTGGACTCATTTGCACACGTGTATCAGTGAGGCTTGGTTTATGTTTGCTGCACATTATAGGCAGCGGTGGGAAAGGAGAGGGAGCCAGAGCAGACGGTGGATGATTTAAATACAGGTGCGTGAAGGCAGTAATGACAGGTGCATGTGTCTCAGGGAAACAGGAGATACACAGATCTCAAAAGCCTTTGTAGGCCCCAAGCTTTCCATCCCTCTTACCATTACTGTCTGGGTTGACAGACAGCTCAGCCTCCAATGAACCAAGTGAAGACCATGGGCATAGGGTAACAATCGGGATGAGGCTGCTGTCATCCTTTATGTTATATCGAGGTTTCCATTGTCTGGTCTGCTCTCTTTGATCCCACTGGAGGATCTTCTTGACTATATAAGCAATACCTTGCCATTTAATCTCCTCTGTGGCCCTCATTGGATTGCTTTGTCTTGCCTGGTTCTTACCACTCTGATCATTGTGGACCTGCCCATTGTTCTCCAGGGGTCTTTGTAATCTGCTAGGGGGACGTGTGAAGGACCTTGGCTCCATGTGACTGGAGCTTGCATTGACAGTAAATGCTGTCTGTCATTGGACGGGAAATGCTCATGGAATAAGGATGCCAGTCAGAAGAGGTCACGTTGCTCCTCAGAATACTTTCCTGGACACCATCATTCGCAAGTTTGAGGGACAAAGTAAGTGATCAGTGCATTGCATGAGCATAAACATGTTTATTTTGGTCACATGTGAGGTGCAATGTATGATGGGCTTTCTTTTAGTTAGTTGGTTAGATGGGGGGATGCAGTGTATGATGGACCCTTTCTCAGTTAGTTGGTTTGATGGGGGAGTGCAGTGCGTAATGTACCCTTTCTTGCTACGTCAGTTAGATACATGGGGGGTAAAGTGTATGATGGACCACTTTTCAGTTAGTTAGTGAGTTAGATGAGGGGGTGCAGTGTGTGATGGACCCTTTCTCGGTGAGTTGGTTAGATGGGGGGTGCAGTGTGTGATTGACCCTTTTTAGGTTGGTTGGTTAGATGGGGGTTGCAGTGTGTGATGGACCCTTTCTCGATTAGTTAGTTAGATAGGTGGTGCAGTGTGTGATGGGCCATTTCTCTGTTAATTGGTTGGGGCAGGGGGTGATGCAGTGTCTGGCGGGCCCTTTCTCAGATAGTTGGTTAGACGGGGTGTGCAGTGTGTGATGAACCCTATCTCAGTTAGTTGGTTAGATTAGATAGCGGCTGCAGTGTGTTTTGGACCATTTCTAGGTAGGTTGGTTAGATAGGGGTGCAGTGTGTGATGGACCCTTTCTCTGTTAATTAGTTAGGGAATGGGTGATGGATTGTCTGATGGACCCTTTCTCAGACAGTTGGTTGAATGGGGGGGTGCAGTGTGTGATGGACCTTTTCTCAGTTAGTGGGTTAGATGAGATGTGCAGTGTGTGATGGACCCTTTTTAGGTTGGTTGTTTAGATGGGGGTTGCAGTGTGTTATGGGCGCTTTCTTAGGTTAGTTGGTTAGATGTGGGGTGCAATGTGTGATGGACTCTTTCTTTGTTAGATGGTGGGTGCCGTGTGTGATGGACCCTTTCTCAGTTAGGTGGTTAGATGGGGGTATAGCGTGTGATGAACCCTTTCTCGGTTAGTTGGTTGGGTGGGCGGTGCAGTGTGTGATGGACCCTTAATTGGTTAGTTGGTTAGATAGGTAGAGCCGTGTCTGATGGACCCTTTCTCAGATAGTTGGTTAGATGGAGGGTGTAGTGTGTAAAGCACCCTTTCTCTGTTTATTAGTTAAAGAAGGGGTGATGCAGTGTCTGATGGACCCTTTTTCAGATAGCTGGTTAGATGGGGGGGTACAGTGCGTGATGGATCCTTTCTTCGTTAGTTGGTTAGATGGTGTTGTTGTATATGATGGACCCATCTAGTTAGCTAGATGGGAGGTGTGATGGACTCTTTCTTAGTTAGATATGGGGGGATGGGGGATGCAGTGTGTGATGGACCCTTTCTCAATTAGGTGGTCAGATGGGGGGGGGGAGTGTAGTGTGTGATGAACCCTTTCTCAGTTTGTTGGTTAGATTAAGTGCAGTGTGTGTTGGACCCTTTCTCGGTTAGTTGGTTAGGAGGGGGGTGCAGTGTGTGATGGACCCTTTATTGGTTCGTTGGTTAGATAAGTAGAGCAGTGTGTGATAGACCCTTTCTCAGTTAGTTGGTTAGATAGTGATACAGTGTGTGATGGACCCTCTGCTAAACTGTCTGTCTGTTTGGGGGATCTATATGTGATGGGTTTTATGTCGTAGACCATGTGAATATGGACCCATCCTCCATCATTAGATCAATTAGAGGGAGGTTAGCTGTGAGCATGGTGAGGCCTGTGTGTGACTGACCCTATCTCAGTTGATTAGATGAGGAGTTTGATGGACCCTCTCCAGTTTGGTTAACTGGGGGGCCGCAGTGAGTGATGGGTCTACTCTAGATTATGCACAGTGCAGTATGTAATTGATCCTCTCTGAGTTACACTTGGGGCTCAGTATGTATATGATACACCCTCTCCCGTGCTCAAATTAAGTACCTCAACCAGATCAGCTTTCTCTCTGCTAGTAGTGACTTTGGAGAGCTTCCGAACCAGTCGCTGAAGCTCGACTGGGGGTCTCTGAAATCCTCTTCCACGAGACCAGGCTGCAGCTCTCGCCATCCAGGTATTGTCCCCTTTGCCTTTGCTTCTTCTCTGCAGGTATCAACACCAGTGCCTACACTGTGATCAGCTACTGCCTTTACAAAGGCACTTGTGGATGTAAGGCCTAGCTTTTTCTTAGCCTGTCCTGAAAGTTAGGGACCAGCGCAGACAGTAAATATGTCCAAAAACTCTGTTACTGGGATCCCTGAATAAATCAGAACTTGACACATAGTTCCCAATGGAACTAACACATGCTATGTTATTTGGACAAGAACAAACATTCAAACTGTGTGATGGATCATCTCTCATTTGGTCAGGTAGGGGTCTGTGTAATGGACCCTCTCTCATTTGGTCAGATAGGGGTCTGTGTGATGGTCCCTCAGATAGGGGTCTGTGTGATGAACCCTCTCTCATTTGGTCAGGTGAGGAGGGGTCTGTGTGATGGACCATCTCTCATTTGGTCAGGTGGGGGTCTGTGTGATGGACCATCTCTCATTTGGTCAGATAGGGGGTCTGTGTGATGGACCCTCAGGTAGGGGGATCTGTGTGATAGACCCTCTCTCATTTGGTCAGATAGGGGTCTGTGTGGTCAGGTGGGGGGGGGGGTCTGTGTGATGGACCCTCTCTCATTTGGTCAGGTGGGGGGGGGTCTGTGTGATGAACCCACTCTCGTTTGGTCAGATAGGGGTCTGTGTGATGAACCCTCTCTCGTTGGTCAGATAGCGGTCTGTGTGATGGACCCTCTCTCATTTGGTCAGGTGAGGGGTCTGTGTGATGGACCCTCTCTCATTTGGTCAGGTAAAGAGGTCTGTGGGACGCAACCTTCTCTCATTCATTTAACCTTGTGTGACGGACCCTCTCTCATTTGGTCAGGTAGGGGGGTCTGGGTGACGTACCCTCTCTCATTTGGTCAGGTAGGGGGGTCTTTGTGATGGCCCCTCTCTCTTATTTGGTCAGGTAAGGAGTTCTGTCTCATTTGGTCTCCCATCTAAATAGTCAGATAGGGGGTCTGTGTGATGGACCCTCTCTCATTTGGTCAGGTAGGGGGGACTGTGTGATGGACCCTCTTTCATTTGGTCAGGTAAAGAGGTCTGTGGGACGCAACCTTCTCTCATTCATTTAACCCTGTGTGACGGACTCTCTCTCATTTGGTCAGGTAGGGGGGTCTGTGTGACGTACCCTCTCTCATTTGGTCAGGTAGGGGGGTCTTTGTGATGGACCCTCTCTCTTATTTGGTCAGATAGGGGTCTGTGGGATGAACCCTCTCTCATTTGGTCAGGTGGGGGGTCTGTGTGATGGACCCTCTCTCATTTGGTCAGGTAAGGAGATCTGTATGATGAACCCACTCTCATTTGGTCAGATAGGTGGTCTGTGTGACGGACCCTTTCTCATTTGGTCAGGTGAGGGGTCTGTGTGATGGATCCTCTCGCATTTGGTCAGGTAAGGAGATCTGTCTCATTTGGTCTCCTACCTAAATGGTCAGATAGGGGGTCTGTGTGATGGACCCTCTCTCATTTGGTCAGGTAGGGGGGTCTGTGTGACGGACCCTCTCTCATTTGGTCCGGTAGGAGGGTCTGTGTGACGGACCCTCTCTCATTTGGTCAGGTAAGGGGGTCTGTGTGACGGAACCTTCTCTCATTTGGTCAGAGAGGTGGTCTGTGTGACGGACCCTCTCTCATTTGGTCAGATAGGTGCTCTGTGTGATGGGCCGTTCTACTTTGGTCAGATAGGGGGTCTGTGAGAGGGGCATTTCTAATTTGGTCATTTGGGGGGATCTGTGTGATGGACTCTCATTTGGTTAGGTGGTGGGGTCTGTGTGACGGAACCTTCTCTCATTGTACAGAACACTGGTGAGACCTCACTTGGAGTATTGTACGCAGTACTGGAGACTGTATCTTCAAAAGGATATTGATACGTTAGAGAGAGTTCAGAGAAGGGCTACTAAACTGGTTCATGGATTGCGGGATAAAACTTACCAGGAAAGGTTAAAGGAACTTAACATGTATAGCTTGGAGGAAAGACGAGACAGGGGGGATATGATAGAAACATCTAAATACATAAAGGGAATCAACACAGTAAAGGAGGAGACTATATTTAAAAGAAGAAAAACTATCACAAGAGGACATAATCTTAAATTGGAGGGGCAAAGGTTTAAAAATAATATCCGGAAGTATTACTTTACTGAGAGGGTAGTGGATGCATGGAATAGCCTTCCAGCTGAAGTGGTAGAGGTTAACACAGTAAAGGAGTATAAGCATGCGTGGGATAGGCATAAGGCTATCTTAGATATAAGAGACTAATAAAGGTATTTTAGAAAACTGGGCAGACTAGATGGGCCGAATGGTTCTTATCTGCCGTCACATTCTATGTTTCTATGTTTCATTAAGTCAGGTAGGGGGGTCTGTGCGATGAACCCTCTCTCATTTGGTCAGTTATGGGAGTCTGTCAGTTAGGGGGTCTGTGTGGGCCATGGCTGGGATCCCCGTATTTACTATCTGCGTCACTACCTACTCCATGTCACAATTCGCCTGGTGAATCACGTTCTTAGTTCTACATATTAAATAATTGCTTTTTGGACTATCTTGTGCCATCTCTCTTCTCTGTTTGACTGTCTCTATCTGTCAGACATTGTGTCTGTCTGTCTGTCTGTCTCTCTGATGCTCACGGTAACTGTCTGTCTCTCTGTCACTCAGTCTGCTTCTGTGTCTCTCTGTCACCCACTGGTGCCTGTCTGTTTATCTCTGTCACTCACTATGCCTGTCTGTCTGTCTCTGTCACGCACTGTCTGTCTCTCTGTCACTCATTAAGTCTGTCTCTCTATCTCTCCCTGTCTGTCTCTCACTGTCTGTCACTCTCGCACCATAGATCCCTGAACATATTAAACCTTTCCTTGTCCATGCTATCTCAAACAGTCACATTAATGTAACCCTTTCCTGCCTGTGCTACTAAAACTCTCATTTTTACAGTTCCCCAAGCTATATAAACTATTTGAGTCCAATGGGTTTTAAACCTTCCATGTCTGTA